TAAAAAATCAAATGAAAAATGGGAAAGACGCATATTGAACGTTTGAGCATATTTTAGAATATTTTAATGTTCGTGGGTTTAACAAAATTAACTTCTTAGACTGATAACGACAAAAAACTATTTATTTGCACTAATTATTAAAGAACTTAAAAAGACTATTAAATTATTATTGAACATAGGTTATGAATTATTCTATTTATTTACACTACTGTTGATATATCACTATTCACTGCGCTATTTATTTCACTTCTATCACTGTCAATTTATTTCTTCTTTTCACATCAATTTATTTCTATTTTTCGTCGGCGATCGTCTCTTCCTTTAAATAGTCTTTTGTTTCCTTTCGGGAACTTTCTCGAACCGTCCGGAAAAGTTTCTTTTTCTTTGAACTGTTAAATTGCTTTCCCAGAACGCAAGTACGACACACACATTTACAAATACGGCGCACATGACTAAAGGCGCCCGCGGCTGGTCGGCGAATCGATAACCGCTCACACACACGTATGCCCGATCGCACACAAACACGCTCGTGCTCGCTACAATAGTCTCAACGACTTCTAGGTCACATTAAGTCTTTAACCTTAGATTGGCTGCACTTTTATCTCATTGTAAGTTAATCCAAACAATATGAATTGGAAGAGCAACATCTATACACATTATCGATTTTTCCACCTTCATTAATATTATATTTAATTTGAAACACCTATAATTAATGGAATAAACATACATAAAGATAAAGGCATATACTGCAGGGGCCCGTCAATCCGTACAATAGGTAATCCGGATTATCCTGTAATCCAAATATCTGGTAATCTAGATTGCAGCAGTACAATCGGTCAATTCATTGGTTTATTCTTTAAAACTAGTTAGGTCGAAGAATTTTCGAAATGATGTAAACTAACAAGTAATTTTAAATGATTTCAAAACTAGCGCATACCGGCAAATCGTTGACTAAAAAGAATGGTTTTGGTTGGAAGGTCTATAGGACAGCATAAGATGTAAATTACCTCAAGTTAATGAGGATACAGTTAAATATGTTAAATAGAACATAAAGTTCTAATATAGTAAAAGTTCCTTTTTCACGATTTTCTTATTCGCGTTTTCATTATTCGCGGGTGAAAAAATTGCAACCCAGTTCCTGTATTCGCGGTTAAAAATTTCATTATTCGCGGTTGCGATTGGTAAACAGAAAAGGATTCGGTGTCATTTATTAAGAGGATTGACCGCAATAGACCGCTCGTGCCTAGTGTGAATTTTTCCGAGAACATGGGTTTCTATTCTAAACATTGTGATTTAACGCTGCGAGATAAATATGTGATTTTCAATAATATAGTCATTAAATGCTTTTATAAGTGCTTCATTTTGATGGTTCTTGTAGAACACGTATTTTCAATAGAAATTAAAAAATGGCCTTCGGCAGGCTTTAGAACAAAGCTTTAACTATCTTACTATAAAATTTCAAACCTCTGTTCTAAACATTAAACTCATGATATCTACAACTGATAAGAATGTTTTTACTGTACAGCGCGTGTACTACTGAATGCCCTTAATGAATCGACATCTTTTGAGTATGTACTGTTGGTACGTGCCAAGGTAGCTTTTACAAAAGATATAACCGAGTAAATAGAAAAGGATCCGGTGTTATTTTGCAACTTATCGGCATCTTTTAAATACTGTTGGCACGTGCCGAGGCGAATTTTATGAACGATGTAACCAAGTGGACTAATTTCAAAATTCAAAACAAGAAAAAATCAATAAATTTTTTGAACTCTTGCCTAAAGTTGATTATAATGATTAATATTAATTGCGAATTTATCAATATGCTTCCATACTAATTATCATTCCATATCCCCGGTTTCTGTATTCGCGGCATATTTATGGAACGTGTACCCTGCGAAAAAAGAGCTTTTACTATATAGTATTGCATATTACTTTTGTGTATTTGTATAATTTTAATGGTGAATCACTACTGAAGGTACCTGCTCATTAAAGATCTAAGAACTTCAGTTGAATCTTTTGTTTTTTAATACAAATGTAGATTTTAAGTATCTAACATTTTATCCATCATTTAATTGTTGAAACACAAAAGATTTCTCATATAAAGAAGCAGATAATACATTCACTAACAACGAACTTAATAAACACCAAATGTATCATCAATTTATAGCAATGGCGAAAAAGTGTTGGCGAAATATGGATTTTTAGAACCAAATCATTTCTATTATCGAAGGTATTGTTAATACATGGTATATTATGGCGCTCACACTGTCATGTGTCTACAAGCATTCTTATCTAGTCAAAATATTTGCCAGTTATGGGCGGTACTTTTTATTTAAATAGATATTAAATAATTTTCCCCTATTTTTTATTTCAGTAAAAACGATATAAATACTTAGTATTATTAATTTTGTGGATGGTGGATGGTATTATAATAGCTATTAGACCTTTCAAACAGTGTTTTTTACAAATAAACAAAGAAATACAAACTATGATCTATAGCATTGTATTTTTTTATGCAACTTGTTAATATTAATAATATANAGTCCCTCAAGAAGGTATCCTTTTTACCGAAAATTGCTTCGGATAACTAAAGTGTCGTGTTTCGGCGTTGGGGTTTGAGCTATTCTGTTTGTTCTTCTACAACCGCCAAAGTTTTTCCAATCTTCATATTTCGTCATGGCTTCCCGGTCATCGCTAATAATATCAACGTCTTAATAAATAAATTAATTGTCTAAAATGAAATGAGATACTAATTCATCCGACTGCCATTCTAATAAATGGGTAGTGACCGATAAATAATTGAAACAACTAAATCATTGAATTCCACCAGATAATGACTGTGTTAGATGCAAAACTAAGACTAATATGAGTTGTATAACTGACTCTTTAAGTCTCTAAATGAACCATGAATCGTCTTTGCTGGCCTTCGCCCCCTCAATGCAGTACCACACTACCTGTGTGCGTGTGTGTGTATTGTCGTTGCAGCAACACTGTTTGTCTACTACTAACGTACAATTGGCTTGAATGCGTACCAGCTTCTGCGAAGGTCACGAAGGTGTGTATCGTCACATGACGCTTGCGATGCGAAGGACGATAAAAATACGCAGCCACCAACCTGACGAGTGTTCTTAATTACTGGCGGCTCATTAACTGAGGTACTTTCTGTGAATAGTTTTTACACCCCCTATTTTGCGGCGGTATCATAAGTTGCACTCTTAAGTACCTCTAGTTGGTACCGTTCAAATACTTTGGAATATTGATCAGACATACTGAATATATACCTACTTTATAAAAGGTTAACTATTTAATCATTCAATAGATTTTGGTTGCTTATTATGCGTAGTAGAATGATTAAAAAAGTTAAAAGGATTACTAATAATAACAATGCTCCTTATTAAAATTTGCAAACAATGCGGGAACTAAAAACTTTAAGGCGAATCTAGTCAAAATAATGCTGCAGAAAATACTATTAAACCCAATTTCTTTTATAATTTATTAATTAATATGCGACACGTTTAAACTAGAAGAGTTTTTGTGATCCTGTTTTGATAAATAACAACTGTTGTTATTGCAATAGTATTGACAGTGAAATTCCTGCAATTGACATTACGTATTTTACTGGCATATTATGTCATCGTAATAGGATTTATGCTTTCCTTATTCCAGGAGCATTCAGTGGGAAATTCATTTTTGTAAAAATCGATTATGTTTACTGACATCGTTTTAGATTTTAGGAAATGTAATTTCCGCTCAAATTTTTCATGGCGGATGCATTTTAGACGTTGGAAATGAATTTTCCCTTTACAATAACCTTGGTATCCAATTTGTCGCATTTACAGTTTATAATTTTTATTTAAAAAGAACTGAAAACTTAATTGAAATTTTAAATATTATGCTTAGGAAAATCAAAAATCTTCATTTAAAAGATTTCCTTTGTTTGTCGAATTTCTGATGTAGTAATTCGCGTTAGCGTAAAGAAAGTCTACATCGCGTACGTACCATACTGTCCTCAAATCTTGTTGGAAAAGACGAAAGTAAAAGCTAAGAATGAAGAAGAGGAAATAAAATGAGAATAAAAATAAGAACAAGCGGAATCAAAAATTAATTCAATCCAGAAAATCAAAGTAATAAAATTGATAAAAAAGGATTGAAATGAGAAGGTATTAGAAAAAGTAGAATTACGGAGAGCGTAATGGAAATCAATGAGAAATAAGCGAAATATGTCAGTAGAACACCACCTCAGACATGAAGAGGGCTACTCGACGATATACTACAATAGAAACAAAACCAAAAGTTAGGAGGGTGTAAAGGTAGTCCTAGATTAGATTACTATTCAAAAATTAGTTAAAGATGTGGATTCGATAAAATTAGGACAATCCACACCTAATTTTCGAGAATCGCGAAGATTGGTGCAGAAGTGTAGAAAGAAGTGAAGGTGCATGTCAAACCTTGAAGTTGATGAATAAAATATGTTGATTATAAGCTGGATGTTTATTGTAAAATATAGAGATTCTTTTCAACATATGAGCTTCTATTTAGATAATCAGTTTTAAGTATTAAAAATATATTTAAATCATCAATGATCTTTTTCTGAGAGCAAAACTTTTAACTAACCCTAAATGTTTTAAACTTATTATCTTATTTTGATAGTTAATCACAGTTTCTCTATAATGATGAAGAGTTTCTAGGTTTTTCTGCCGTGGTCGAATTCTCATTGCAGATGTTTCGCCATGCTTAATAAATGATATCTTCAGTGCTTCACGATGTATGATCGATGTCCTTTCGAGTGTAACCGTTCGAACGAGCAATAAGACCACGTCGGGAACCAAGAACCAAGAACGGTGAACAACAATTAATTTGGTTTACGTGTTGTTTCCTAAGCTATGTCGTCTATTCAGTAGGCCGAAACAGATAGGTACCTTAGTAAGGCATTTGTCTAACATTTGAAATACAACAGTTCATTTTGATATATATATATATATGTAAAATTATGTACTTACCATTGTTCTATTATCGATTTGTCCTAAATGATTATGTCGTCTAGCAATAACGCAGGATATTCGCAGATAAACGTAAAGCATCACAACCATCGGTATGAAGAATGATCCCATGGCAGAAAATATAACGTACCCTGTATTCCTGTTGTACCTACAGGTTTGGTCCTTGTGCCTACCTATTTCGTACCTGAAAAAAAGAATATTAATGTGTACAAATTACTTTCTGTAGAAATGTGATCAGTTAATTTTTATTCGTTTCAGTTTAAGCGATTGGCAACCGAGATATTTGTAGTACAGTCCGCGATCTTCCTGTTTATTGCTTCTTTCAATCACATCTGGTTGTTCTAGGTGAGTGGCGGCTGGCGATATTTTTGATTGGGAAAGGGAAGGGGGTCGTTTGGTGTTCAGCACTAACATAAAATTAATATTGGGTTGTTCGGAAAGTCATTTCGTTTCTTCCCGACAGAGAATTTAATCGTATTCTTTTGCACCTAACTTCACATTTAAGGCGTATAATTTTTATATGCTTTGAGAGCTCATATAGCAAGGCTTGCGTGTGAAAAATTCCAATTAATTCTACGCAGTAGTTTTTGGTTGGTGCCCTTTTAAATATGGAGAGCGATAAGCAGCATTTTCGACATATCTTACTGTTTTACTACAGAAAGGGTAAACATGCTGTTCAAGCCAGAAAGAAATTGACTGATGTGTATGGAGAAGGTGTGTTGACAGTACGCCAGTGCCAGAACTGGTTCGCTAAATTTCGATCCNNTTTGACCGGCGCAAAGTAGAAAAGAACAGCACTAGGCCAGAAAAGGAAGGAGACAACTCTCGGCCAAACTCTTAACCGGTGAGGAGCGTATAATCCGTACAGTACTGCACGGAAAAATTGACTATTTTGTCCACTACAATTGCATTGCTCAAATGTGCTGTTATTGGTATCATTTACTACTGAAAATATCAACGAGATGTTTATTTAAATTTGTAGACATATTAAAGGCTTTGTTTTCGACTCGCACTACTATTCATGATTGAACAAAACTTTTGTCAAGTACTGTATGAAAAAGTATGTTTAATGAACAAAAGTCGAGAGTATAATGAGCTTTTTTTCTCCCTACCTACGATTTTGCCAGCGCGCATCCAAGACATTGGAAGGGGCACATCGCTAGAGAATGTAAGTGAAGTATATTTGTAGTTTGACCGACAATTACAGATGGAAACTACAATATTTTTAAAAATTTTAGTTAAAAGTTTTCATTTGTTGGCTCTTCCAAACCTTAAACAACTCTATTACCAAATTTTTATTGTTTGTTGTATGACCAATATGGGAAGAATTGCAGTAGGTAATAGTTAGCATCAAAAACCGCCGGACTCAATTTTCAAACGAAGCTGCAAAAAGCGAGATGCTAACATGTGGTCCGCCTTTTCAATACTGATAATATACGCAGTTTCCGTAGGGTAACGGTATCATAAACTCAGTTCCTTCAGTCCCTCAAGAAGGTAACCTTGTTACCGAAAATTGCTTCGGATAACTAAAGTGTCGTGTTTCGGCGTTGGGGTTTGAGCTATTTTGTTTGTTCTTCTACAACCGCCAAAGTTTTTCCAACTGAGATGTGAAGGTATATCGGTATATCCTCATTACCTGTAGTTTATTAATACTATAATACTGACGTTAACTATATTGACTATTTGGAATAATTTAAAATCAGTACTATTCTGGCATACATTGTTGCCATTTGTAGATTTCTATTGTATTGTATGCAAAGTATTGTGGAAAAGCACTAAAGAGTATCCTCAACAGGAGATATTTTTACTTTCGGAAGCATCCTACACAGTCATTAAGTGTAGTTTGTGTAATTTTAACGGGCCAGGCAGAGCCCCACAGTGTTGCTATCACGATAGTGCGCGGATAATGGGTTGTAGGTGAGAGGGCGCGTTGGAAGGGAACGATCGATCAACGCCACATACCGTCAAGCGTCAAGTAGTAGATATTTTAGCGTCCAAGGCTGTGGACGCACTCGAAGACTACCATTTGTGAAGTGTGAGAATAATTTCTCCACCCTGATTGCATTTCATCATTGGACAGGGGCTCGAAGACTATAATACAGCGTATGGGTATACCCATTTTTAATTTCGTTATTTTTTGGTTTTAATTTTTATTTTTGATTAGAGTTTCTGTTTTCTTTGATTTTATTTTTATTTGAATTTAAATGTACGTTCTATTTAATAAAATAATTGAAGCTGGGTTTTCCTTTCTGTTATCAAAGAATTCACGACCAAGACTTGCTGGTTTGTTATATAATGATGAAAATATACGAGAGTGGATCGATAAATGTTAGTAAATCGCCATGAAGATGACACTGCTATACCAATTTCATATTTTAATCAGACAGGGTGTTTATGAAATAAGAAGTAAGCTTTGGACCTATGCGCCGAGTTGAGATAAGAACTCAGAAGCTACAACGATGGAGAAAATAACCAATACCGCTTATGGATCGGCTGAAGTAAACATCAACAAACTACTACACATAATGTTTAGAAGTCCAACATGGTCATCATTATCATAAGGTCGTGCTATTTCGCGTGTATTACCTTGGGGGTTGTCTTATATGAAAACCAAGTGTTTCATCCTCTTAGCGGTCCACGCTCACTACTCACAAATGGAGGGTGTACCTTACGTAGAATGTGATCGTTGTATTAACACGGACACACCTGACCTATCATCGACCGCTCAGTGTTAATCTAATCTAACAACTAATAAATAATACATGCGCAAAAAAAATACAAAAGAAATACAACACTGCTGCTGCTAGTTACCGGCGTTGCATGGTCGCATTTTTGTCCAGGGCCGAAATTAGATTTGCCTGTACTTTTAGGTATGTTTTTCTCGAAAATAGTGAACTTTCGGACTTGCCAATAAGTACGTAGATACAACGGGCCGAGTAGCGATGCTGCCACAGGAAAGACGGAGTAGGAATAATTAGTACAGTTTAAATTTTGAAGACCATACAGTTTCTTAAATTTGTCCAGTTTCTGTTTCAAGTTTGCTATTGTTAGTCAATCATAAATAATTTTTGGTTCTCAAAAGCAGTGACTACTTAATAACACAGTCAAAATCTCTTATAACGACACCGAAGGGACTACTCATATTTGGTCGTAAAAACCGATAGTCGTAATAGCCGGTGATGTCGTTATTAAGTACTTAATACCTATTATTGAATGTGTGATTAATATATTCATATATAAAATAAAACTACATTTTATTTATTTTACATAAAACGTATTATAAAAAGACATTACATACATATAATTATCATTTTTCTATATTAATAAAATCTGGAATTTTAGTCTGTTTGGAACACTTCTGACGTGCGTACAGACTTTGTAGCTCACGTTTAATTTTAATGAATGTATCATCATAACTTCCCTGCATATGAAACTGTTCATTAGAATAAAAAAACAATTTTTCGTAATACACTGACAACATTGAGACCATCATTCAATGTTGGCACTGTAAATTGTTCTTCAGTCTCTTCCTGTTCGTCATTTTCCTCTTGAACTTCTTGTACAATATCATCTTCCGTAGTTGGTGTACAAATTGCAATAGAGTTATCTGCATCAATAAACTCCTAAGCTTCAGTGGCAGATAGTCTGAGAATTACAATAGACCNTCTTTCCTATCCTGAGCTAAACTTCGCATTTCCCTAAAACTAGAACAGCCCACATCCTTAACTATTTGCGAAGAGTAATCTAATCTAGGTCTACCTCTACCCCTCCTAACTCCTGTTTCTGCCTCTAAAGAAGACATTACGTACATACAATTATCATTTCTCTATATTAATAAAATCTGGAATTTTAGTCTGTTTGGAACACTTCTGTCGTGCATACAGACTTTGTAGTTCACGTTTAATTTTAATTAATGTATCAACATAATTTCCCTGCATATGAAACTGTTCATTAGAATAAAAAACAATTTTTCGTAATATATTGACAGCATTGAGACAATCATTCAAAGTTGGCACTGCAAATTGTTCTTCAGTCTCTTCCTGTTCGTCATTTTCCTCTTGAACTTCTTGTACAATATCATCTTCCGTAGCTGGTGCACAAACTACAATAGAGTTATCTGCAGCAATAAACTCCTCAGCTTCAGTAGCAGATATTCTGAGAATTACGATAAACCCTAAACTCGACACGTTTTTGTTTACTTTTGTGATATTAATGGTCATTTACTGTACCAGATGTGGATACTGCTATCTATTCAAATGTTTATAATACAGCTGGTCGTTCTAATAGATATAATTCTCCGAAAATATCAGTTAAATGTGGTCGCTTAAAGAGATATCGTAATAAGCAATGTCGTAAAAACCAGTATTTATTGTAAGGCGGTCTAACAGAATTAAGCCTGGACCTATGATTTTGGTCAATATAACCGGTATGTTGTTCTAAACGATGTCGTAATAAACGGTTTTGACTGTATAATTAAAATATAGGTTCATAGATGCCCTCCAACTTTTATATTATTGTGACACAAAGCATATGACTGACATACAAAACTAATAATAGTAGATCGTCAAAAGTTGCATATATCTATATGTCGCAGCTAACCTGAAAAATCTGGTAATTTTAGATAAGGCCTGACAATTAGACACAAAGCAGCGTAGCGCAATGAATTTCTGAACATTTTGACGGAATGCAATGATGTGAGTATAGATAGTCGAAATGTATACCGAAACGAAACCTTCAATGTACCTATTTCAAGAGTAAAAGTTTCATATAAAAAATACCAAGAATAAGAAATATGATGCTTTGACGATACTTTTAATTAGTTGGAATATTGTTTAAATAAATTGCAAAACTAAGAAAACAAGATTTTCAAAGCAATAAATACTACTGATTTAAAAAAGTGTTTTACGTAACAAATGTAGCTGCAAAACCCAATAAGAAAAATTCAATATAATCCCTTATTTCTATTTTTAATAACTAATGATATATTGATCTTACTTTAAAATCATACCTGTAATTATATTTAAAATACACCTACATTTTCAAATGGATGTCTTTTCTAAATCATTTGCTTAGCCAATTTTTTTTGTATACAACAACAAATTTTTTTATTATCTCTACTAGTTGTACTGTGAAGCAAATTTTAAAATTAATCGGTTTTACCAACTTTATTTGTATAAAAATGGA